GACGAGAATCGCCATTGGTTCTAAAAGGAATCAGCTGCACATTCGAAGGAGGACACAAGATTGGAATTGTTGGTAGGACTGGTAGCGGAAAGACGACTCTGATAAGTGCTCTGTTCAGACTTGTTGAGCCCGTTGGAGGAAAGATTGTCGTTGACGGTGTTGACATATCGAAAATCGGAGTTCATGATCTGAGATCAAGGTTTGGTATTATACCTCAGGATCCGACTCTGTTCAATGGAACAGTGAGATATAACTTGGATCCTTTGTGTCAACATTCAGATGCTGAGATTTGGGAGGTACGTCTAACTAAACTTAAAAACTATATTGAAACTATGAATCTTATGAAGAAGTTGATATAAAATAACAAAAATTTCAGGTTCTTGGGAAGTGTCAATTGAGAGAAGTGGTTCAAGAAAAAGAGAAAGGCCTAGATTCATTAGGTAAAAACAGAACAATTTAGATGCTTTTTTTTTTTTAAAATCTTTTTCTGGTTGGTTATACTTTTATGAAAAGTTTGTGAAATTTAAGCTATTAAGGATAATACATTATGGATTTGGTTGGGTTATTTGTTTAGTTGTGGAGGATGGATCAAATTGGAGCATGGGACAGAGACAATTGTTCTGTTTAGGCAGAGCAGTTTTGAGAAGAAGCAGAGTATTGGTCCTTGACGAAGCCACAGCGTCTATAGACAATGCCACGGATTTGATACTTCAGAAAACAATACGGCGAGAATTCGCAGATTGCACGGTCATAACCGTAGCTCACCGGATTCCTACCGTCATGGATTGTACAAAGGTTCTCTCTATAAGTGATGGTGAGTGTGTTGCACGTCACCATAGATTTATTTTATTTTATCCAAAGTTTTTGTTTTTCTCTGAATCTTGAAGTTTGTTTTGTGGGTTTTGATTGAAATGTTAGGACGAATTGTGGAGTATGATGAGCCGATGATGTTGATGAAAGATGAAAATTCTTTGTTTGGGAAGCTTGTCAAAGAGTATTGGTCTCATTACCACTCGGCTGACTTACGTTGAATGATGATCAAATTGTAATCTCGAAAATGTATTTGAAGATTTAGAAAAACTGTAATTGTTGTTTAGCAAAAAAAAGAAAACTGTAATTGTTTGATATATGTACTCTGGAATGAAATAATTTAGATCTGATAGCAAATTCTAGTTACACACGAGCTTTGACCAAAACCACTCCAAATCCTAACGTTTTTTTAACCTAAGGATGCTGATGATGTGATCAATGAAAAAAGTTGGCCAACAGTTACAATAATAACTAATAAATAAAGAAAGTTCATGATGTTGGTGGCCGACAAAACTGATCGGTCATACATAGATTATTATGATTTGTAGCAGAAGATATGCCTGACGACGCTGATTGGATATCTAAAAAAATACTGTATTTGTGATTCGATTTGTTTTTGAAAGATATCTAATTTTTTTATTTGA